GCTCTTCATTTTGCTGTATGTACTTCTGCTTTGACGTCTGCCCATCTCCTTGTGGTTCCTTCTTGGTCTTATCAGTGGACTTGTTTCACAAAGAGCTGACAGACTCAGGAAGACTCTCTCTCTTGTCCAAAAGGGAGTTCTCTTGTCCAACTCTCTGGTCCAGAAGGGAAGTCGTCTTTTTTTTTTTTTTTTTTTTTTTTTTGAGCTGAAGACCAAACCCAGGGCCTTGTGCTTGCCTACCACTGAGCTAAATCCCCAACCCCCATAAAATATATTCTTAAGCATAGGTTTGCTTTTCTGTTCATCGAGTCAAGATCAAACTAACATAGTTGAAGAGCCAGATCTGGTGATGAGGGGAGGTTATTGGGGAAAATTATTAAGGCAACTCCACATAGTTAAAAAGGAGGTTTATTTTGGGGTAACTTACAGCCAGTAAGTTGTTGGTTACAGGACCCGGGAGAGGTGAGGTGCAGTCCAGCAGGGGTCTCTGAAGAACTCCGCTCGGTTTACCATTCAGCATCTAGGATCACCAGAAACCAAGAGACCAGGCAAGGGCTCCAGTCTTGGCCCTGCCCCAGGGGCGCATCATAGGTAGGCACAGCAGTTACCAGAAGCCTCACTAGGGGTAGTACTTCCAGATCAAAGCTGGAACAACAGCTACCCACTGCAGCAGGTACTTGGGAGAAAGGGCAGGAGGATTTCAAGTGCAAAGCCTGCTTTGGCTGGCGAGGAAACTCAAGGCCAGCCTAATCAACTTAAGAAGAAAACAAATGCAAAAGCAGAGCCAGGTATACAGCTTGGGAATAGAGTACTTAAACAACAGACCCTGGAAAATTCCCATTACCACAAATACAACAACAATAATAACAATGTATTTTGACATTTCAAAATTCCCTTGCCCTCGTTCAAAAAAAATTAAACATGGCCTCTAAAACTATATTTATTATTCTGTGACTAAGGTCATGAATACTGAAGTATTTAATAAAATTTTCATAGGACCTATCTCTGGGAACTTTGACTAAGAAAGATGTCCTTTTAAATAAATAGGGCTAAAGAGATAGCTTAACAGTTAAGATCACTCACTGCTCTTGCAAAGGACCAGAGTTTTGTGCCTAGCGCCCACACCCAGAGGCTTGCAACTACTTGTAACTCTAGCTCCAGGGGACCCAATGCCCTCTTCTGGCCTTTACAGGCACTTGCATGTACACATACACACACTGACATGCACATAAATAAAAAATGAATCTGGGGGAAGGGAGAAATGAAAAATGCCCTCAAGATAATTCACTCAGGGGATAGGAAGATGACTGCAGTTATCAGCTGGCTGCTCTTCCAGAGGACCTGGGTTCTATTCCCAGCACCCACATGATCACTTACGACTATCTGTAACTCTACTTCCAGGGGATCTGACCCCTCTTCTGGCATTTTTAGGCAACAGGCATGCACATGGTGAATATACATACATGCAGGCAAAACACTCATACATATAAAATGAAAACAAACCCTTCAAAGGCACTTTGGAATGGGACTGGGGGCTAGAAAGATATATCAGTGGGTAAAGGCACTTGTAGCTAAGCCTGATGACCCAGCTTCAATCCCTGGAGTCTACATGGTGGAAGAAGAGAACCAACTCTCAAAAGTTATGCTTTGATTTCCACACATATGCTGTGACATGCATGCACTCATGTGCATGTACACACACACACACACACACACACACACACACACACACACACACACACACGCTAAAACAATTTTGAGAGAAAGAGAGTAAAGAGAATAAGAGAAAGAGACACCACTTCCAAGCCAGGTTTAGCATGCATCATCCATCACTCAGGAGGCTGAAGCAGGAATTTTGTCCAGTCCAGGCCAGCCTGGTTACATAGTAAGTTCCAGGTCTGCTTGACTACGATGTGACACATTGTCTCAAAAAAAAAAAAATAGAATCAAGTAGATTTCAAAAAGCACTATTTCCAAACCTGTGAATAATCTATAGAACTTAAGGCAAAAGGCAATATATGTTAGAAATTCTGGAATGGTCTCTCCATCTCTTCTACACAGAAAAAAAATTCCCAGAAAATTATAAACTTACCATTTCCTATTTTTCATAATTATATGACATTTTCTCACCGCCTAGCTCTGAAATTCAATCCTTCAGATTCCTAGTTTGTCCCACATGGTTGAATGGAATGTTCAGCATTTTTTTATATTATGCCTCATTAGGCAAGAAATCAACCAAAATAGACATTTATGATAGACTCAAAGTTCTCTCATTTTAAGTAAATACACACACTAAACATTTTAATAAACCAAACTTCTAAGCACAGCCATCCCAGCATAACCACGGGAGATTGGTTCCAGGAACCCTGTGGAGCCCAGAGGCCACAGATTCTCAAGTTCTGGACATAAAATGCTGTAATGTTTGAACAGAATCTGCACACCTCCTCCTGCCTACTTTAAATCATCCTCAGGTTCCTTCTAAGACCCAAAGCAATGTAAGTCATCCGTTATACTGTATTCTTTAGAGAATGATGATGAAGAAGTGTCCACACATGTTTAGTGCAGGCATATCCATAGCGGGTCATAACTACACAGAACCCAAACCACAGCTGATTGAATCTGCAGAGCTGGAAACCCTGGAGTTTAAACAGCCATGGAACACTGATGTCAATGCATTGCAAAAGGTGGTGAGACCTAAACCTGAAGACAAATAACAGGAGGTAACTGAAGGTTGGCTTCCTATTTAGTGAAGTAAATTATCCGAAGAAACATCATAAGATAGAGCATACCTTATGGATGCTTACACCAGCCACTGCTTGTGGTGGTTGCTAAGGAACTGAAGACTTAGGTGGCAAATCCCAGGGAAGCGAAAGATGATTAAAATGTTCAGGAGGGGGTTGGGGATTTAGCTCAGTGATAGAGCGCTTGCCTAGCAAGCTCAAGACCCTGGGTTCAACCCTCAGCTCAAAAAAAAAAAAAAATGTTCAGGAGGCCTGCCTACTTATAAGAAAAGACAAAAGAAACTGGTGTCGTCCCATCCAGAAAAAAACAAAAAAACAAACTAGAGGGTGATTCAGAGTAAATTTCAATTTGCAATAGCTGTTCAGCAGTCGGGGACAAACTGTTCTCCAGTGGGACCTACAGGAAGGGATGACACAAGTTTCAATACAAGAAACTAGACTCAAAACAGACTTCATCATAATGAGGGTCCGTGAAGCTTTAGCCTGGGTGACCAGAGTGTGACTAGTGTGACCACTTGAAGCCAGCTCCAGCACACTGTCAGGGGAAGAGGAATGTATTCCCTGACAGACGGCTCGTGAGGAGATCAGGAAGGTGTCTCCTGGCACATCACAGAGCAAGAGACTTTCTGAGATGCCTCCTAACTCCACTGGTCCTTCCAAAACAAGGCTCTGAGTGAGGTGCCTGCCCCAGCAGGTCCTCAGTTCTCTCCACCCTACCTCCTTCTGCCCATTCAAGCACTGTGTTTTCAGCCTCCTTCTCTTCCCACACAGGCATTGTCATGGGATGTAGACATAAAAACACTTGTGATGAGATTTTATGGCCCACTAGGTACACCAAAGGCATGGTAACTATGCTGGCCAGTTTTATGTTAACTTGACACAAGCTAGAGTCATCTGAGAGGGGGGATCTTTAGTTGAGAAAATGTTTTGGTAAGATCCTGCTATAGGCAGGCCTGTAGGGAATTTTCTTGATTAGTGATCGATGGGAGAAGGCCCAGCCTGTTGTGGGCAGTACCCCTGGGCTGGTGATCTATAAGAAAGCAGGCTAGGCAAGCCATGAGGAGCGAGCCAGTAAGCAGTGCTCCTCCATGGCCTCTGCGTCAGTTCCTACCTCCGGCTTCCTGGCTTGTTTGAGTTCATGTCCTTCCTTCAGAGATCAAGAGTGTTGTGAAAGTGTGAGCCAAATAAACCCTTTCCTTCCCAAGTTGCTTTGGCCATGGTGTTTTATTACAGTAATGATAACCCCAACTAAAACAGTAACAACATGTATTTCTATAAATATACAAATTCCCATGCAACCTCCCATTCCCACCTTTGGAGGTAGTGAGATGGAATGGGCTAAGAGAAGAATAAACCCCCCAGTTAGGAGTCAATCAGTGCCAGGTATGGTAGCACACACGTGTAAACCCAGCCCTCAGGAGACTGAAGCAAGAAGATCATATATTCTAGGCCAGTCTAGACTGTATAACAAGGCCCTGTCTTTAAAAAATGTTAATTTCTTTCATTTAAACACCCTCTTCTAGACATGAACACAATCAAATCACAGTTTGAATTCCCTCTAAGGCTCTTCTCCTTTTCTTCAACGATAAGAGCTGTTAGATATGAAAGGGGTTACATGTCTCAGATGATGTGACTAAGGGGGACGATTGGGCCTAGTGATATTAGAGATGTCCCCTGTGTACTTGGTAGCACCCTGGAGGTGACATTGTGGGAAGTTCCTTTTTGAAAAGCTGGGGGTCTTGGGGGTCTTTGCTTTGCCTTAGCCCAGGCTGACCCTGATAGTCTTTGTCATTGGTCTCCTCTTCAGCTTCCAAAAGTACCTGGCAGGTTGCAAATGGGGAAGAGGGCTTGTCCCACCTGTGCCTCCCGGACCGTAGGAACACTCGGGTTTCAGTCCTTGCCTTGATGTACATAAGAAGTTCTGGGAAGCTGGAGAAGTGTCACAGTGGCTGAGGGTACTTGCCGCTCTTGCAGAGTCCAGGTTCAGTTCCCAGAACCCACATGGGAGTGTACAACCGTAAGTTATGTCTGTTCCAGGCCTCTGGGGGCACCAGGAATGCACATGGTCCACTTACAGGCAAAGACAGCCAGACACATAAATAAATTCATTAAGTGTAAATACATCTTTACAAAGTAATTATGAACCAAAGGCTTCTCAAGGCTCTGCTTTGACTCTCTCTCTGCCGCCTTCAGCCAGCTCTAGCTTCCCCCTCCCCCCAGAGTGTTGCATTTTGGGTAATGCTGGTACTTCGAAAGGCTTTAACTTTTCCTAAACTGTATCATGGAATACTAGAAGCAAACCTCCTTGCTCTCTGGGCAGGTAAGCCAACTGTTCCACAGCAACCTTTCTCTCTGGTCCATCTCTCCTCAGCTTTCGTCTTCTGTTCTCCAGAAGGATGAAATAGGAGGGAAAATGATTTTGTTCTAACTGAATTGCAGGCCTTCAATGGAATCGCACACAGCCACATTCCAGGAGGAATGAATCCTCCACACTGCTTCCTCCAGATTCCTTTTATGGAGCACGTGTCAACTTTCAATTACTATTTTCAGCAATGGCCTTGTGTCAAATACAAGGTGACAGAAAATGTCTCTCCTGCCATCTTGCATTTGTGTGTGTGTGTGTGTGTGTGTGTGTGTGTGTGTGTGTGTGTTCCTATATGTGAGGATACACATGTACAAGTATACATGTTTGCACATACATGTAGTTGCTTCAGATTGATGTCTTCACGTCTCTCACTGAATCACCATTTTGGCCAGCTTCTCTCCACCTCCTGTGTGCTGGGATCTCACCTAGCTTTTTGCATGGATTCTGGGGATCCAAACTCCAGCCCTCATGCTTGTGCGGCAAGGGCCTTATCCACTGCACCCTTCCCTCAGACCCTTCATACAATGAAAGGTTTATCTCCTTCTTCTAAGTGTTTGAAAGCAGATAGATGTAATCCCAGCACTCGGAAGACCGAGGCAGAAGGACTCACATAAACTTGAATACAGCTTGGTCTACATAATGAGTGTCAGGGCAGCCGGGGCTGCACTAAGATCCTGTGTCTGATGGACTGGCATTTGATGGATGAAATGAGTTGACCAGTCATCACTGACAGGTGGCACCACACGACCTTCTATGTTAATTCAAAAGAGCCGTTGACTCTGTAAGAACAAGAAACACGAAGTTACATTTGCTGATCTACTAATTAATATTCTTATATTTTAGCAAATCAAATCGATGTCTCCCAAATGTTGCTCTCTTGTTGACCAAATGTGTGATTTTCCTATGAGTTAGTAACGACCGAATCTCTCCCCTCCTTTTGGCTTCATCTTCTGCTCCTTCCTTTATCATTCTGCTCGGCATCTCTGCCTGCAAGACAGTCCCAGGCCATGACCGAAGAAGCTACTACACAGGCGATTCATCAAGTTAGCTGTGTATAATCTGAGCAAGATTTGGATTTTACCACTTTCCCAATATGCAAAGCTCTAATGGTATCCTAAAATGTTTGCCATGGAAGGTTTTTGGTAATAGGTGTTTAATAGACTTTGTCTTTATTTAAAAAAAAAAAAAAAAAAAAGTTTTTAAGAGAGAAGACTTGTATGAACCACTGCAGAAGCATCCATTTAATAGTAAAATGCTGCCTCCTTCTGGGTAAATTGAATTATACATGAGAAACCTGTCAAACTGCCACCGAGATATACTGTTTTAGGGGGAGGGGGGAGATGAGACATTTTTAAAAGAAATTTTTAATATAAAGAAAATAGAGGCAGAAGAGTTAACTTGAAAAATTACCCAAGTCTGTCTGTGAAGTAATAAATCACCTAAATCATGTATCCTATGCATGAGGTTTTGTTACCAAAGAAATGGGGCTTTTCATCTCATTGATGAAAGAATTTAAGAACAGACCCAAAGAAGCTTGAAGACAGCCTTATTAGAGTTTAAAAGAAAACCCCAGGGCAGACAAGCTGTAAATCCTGGCAGCTGCCTGGTGGAGGAAGATGGAGCAGAGGAAGAGAAAGCGCATGCTGTTTGAGTTAAGCCTGAATGTGGGACTGCCATATACTAGATGACCAGTACACACGGTGGGGTGGGGGGGGGGTTAGAGAAAGAGTAAATCTCAGGGGCTGGAGAGACGGCTCCGTGGTTAAGAGCACTGCCTGCCCTTCCAGAGGACCAAGGTTCAATCCCCAGCACCCACATGGCAGCCCACAACCTGTAACTGCAGTTCTAGAGGATCTAACACCTTCCTCAAGCCTCCCTGGGCACCAGGAAAAGTGGTGCACAGACATGCATGCAGGTAAAACATCCAAATAAAGCTTGCCTGGAGACCAGAGGGCAGAGCTAGCCACTAATTAACCATAGAGGTCAGGCAGTGGTGGCACACACCTTTAATCCCAGCACTTGGGAGGAGGAGGCAGAAAGATCAGGAGTTCAAGGCCACCCTGGGCTACATGACATTGAACCAGTCTAAAAGAGAAACAGAGCGGACAGTGATAGCTCATGCCTTTAATCCCAGCACTAGGGAGGATCATGCCTTTGATCCCAGTACATGGTGGCTCATGCCTTTAATCCCAGCATTGGAAGGTAGAGACAGGATCTTAGTTCCCATTGAGTCTGAGGATTAGTAGAGACAGGATGCCCTTTCAGTCTGAGATTTCATAGAGGTAAGAAGTTTCTAGTGAGTGGCTGGCTGCTCTGCCTCTCTGATGTTTCAACTTTCACCCTCGGCATCTGATTCCAGGTTTTTATTGTTAAGACTAATTAGGATCGCGCTTCACCCATACACATACATTAGAATTTATTTTTCAAATGAACTCCAGAGTATAGGGAAATGATGCTTAGACAAACAAAAGAAAGAAGAAAAGGAAAAGTTCCACTTTTCTAAGTAACTTACTCTTTGAGTAAAACAGGCTGAAAAGGCAGCTCTGTAAGCTACTGCATGAACTTGGGGATTCCAGGAAAGAATTAAAGGATTAATAATTCTCCTAATCTCTTTAAGATGGCTTAAGGTGACCCCACCTTCCTATGACGTGGTCACTGGGCCAAGCGACTGGTCAGGCTGTTAGGATTCTGCTGCCACGCCAGCTGCCTGATTGCACATGTGTAGTTCAGGAGCTAAGCATTGCATGATTACGTGCATGGTCACACAATCTGTGCATGCGTGGCATAGCTCCGTAAGCCCACCTGCACCTTAAAAAGCCAAACACAGACTCCTCCCCTCCCTTCTCTTTTCTCTCTTCCCCCCACTTTCTCTTCTCTGTTCTCCCTCTCTGCTCTCTGCACGTGCTTCTTCCCAGGCCTGTTCTTTTGTCCCCCCACCCACCCCCAATAAAGCTCTGATACTGGGTTTTGTCGTGGCTCGTGCCTCATGACCCCATGACATGGTAACCAGCGCCGCTTATCATTTTTAACACAGGCCATCTGGATTAGGTCTTAAGGGAGGAGACAGTGGCCTCCCTCCACCAGAGATAGATTCCATTCTTCTGGCTAGGAGGCAACAGCTTTCTCTTAGTGGGCCTTCAAGGCTTCCGTTACATCCCCTTTCTGATAAGGTAACACTAAAATTATTTAGGAGATGGGCTGATATTAGGAAAAAGAATTTTTTTCACAACAATCTAGAGATTTGGTGAGGAGGAATCTGTGTCTGGACTGCAGCTTTAGTTCCCACCCTCACAACGAGGAGGTAAGAAACCAGAGCTCCTCTTCAGTCCTCCTGGCTAGAGACCCCAGGATGTTTCTGGAACTGCTGCTTTGCAGTCTCTGCTCTGAGCTGCCTTGTCCAGTTTCTAGTCCCAGTTTCATGAATAACTCACTTAAGGATGCCCGTTCTAGTCTTGCTAGGCAAGGAATCATAATTTCCCTTTTGGGGAAGACATCAGAATTGGGCTGGTTAGCACCAGTGAGGACTGGTGTGTGAAACTGCCATATCACCAATTAGGTTACAATCCTATCTGGGTGTGACAAAGATCCAGACATACTCCCTGCTTTCAGGAGAGAGGGTAGAGGTCAGAGTGATGTAGGGGCCATGTCAGGTAAGGTCAAAGGTCGGAGGAAAATATTAAAATTTTTTGTGATAGGCATTGAGGTCAGGGACAAAGGAACCCAACTTTTTGTTTGTTTGTTTGTTTGTTTGTTTTTGAGACAGATATGCAAGAGAAGGGAGACATGGATGACATGGTTCTCTTGGGAACCCATTACCTTTGGGAAATGGAAAGATGGAGTAGGGTTGGGTGGGAGAAACAGCAGACCAAGAATGAGTGTGTAGTGAGAAAGGTCGGGACAGGTAGAGGTTTGGTGGCAAAAGGTGGGGTGGGAAGAGGCTTGGTAAGCAGAAGATGTCGGGGCGGGGGGTGGTGGGGGAGTAAGAGGCTTGGCAGCAAAAGTGGGAGAGGGAAGAGGCTCGGTGGAGAGGCAAGAGGGGGCTGGAAGGTTAGGGCCAGGTCTGGGGAGGACGGTGTCCTCAGTCAGGTCTGGCCGGATACGGAGGAGAATCAGCAGGGAAAGACAGAGAAGAAAACGAGTGTTTTCAACAACAGATTTAACCAAGAAAAAACTGCAGAAGGGGCTCTCCGGACCTTGAAACCAGGGAACTCACTGTCCAGTTACAGACTCTAGAAACTGAGTAGGGGGTATCAAATAAAAGAATGTCAGGCAACTGATAAACAGTTCTCATGGCCAGCAGAAACTTGGGGTCAGTAGGATGGGGAAGCAGGAATCTAGGAAAACAGGTTGTTTAGTTCTGAGGATGCTAGTCACTGTGTTTCAGGAAATTATCAACATTTAACCAGATGGAGCTTTACAAAACGACCTGTCCCTGGTTAATGAGTTGGGGGTAGAAGGGGTTCATGTCACAGCAACTGGATGGAGGACAACTTCAGGGACTCAGTTTTCTCCTTCCCTGTGGGTTCCGGGAATCAAACTTGGGTTTTCAGGAGCCCTTACTCATGGAGCCGTCTTCCTGGCACCACTACTATGCCACAATCTATAACAATAAATTCACAAGCGATGGCCACCTTCGCTCGCATCAGCTTACCAGATACTCCCACTTCCTGTGATAACCCTGGCAAAGCAGACACTTGTCCTTTTACTCCGATCTTAATGACTAATATTAACCCTCACACCACATGCTACGCATCATACAATAAATATATTTATGGTGGGGAGGCTTCCAGAATGACTATAAAGGGTTAAGAGGCAGAGTTTCAAGGAGTCCTGTCTGAGAAAGCAAATCTGAAAAACTGATGTGAACTCAGAAGTCTCTTTGTTGACCAGACAACAAGCCAGGCTGGAGAAGCTGCTGCCGTGAGTCGGACTGCTGTGGTCACAGGTGTGGGAGGGAAACTGCAGAACCGTAGGGGCAAAGGAGCAGGCCTGGACCCAGGTTAAGGAATGGGTAGAGAGATGGCCAGGCTAGCAAGGGGACGGGTGAATGACAGTTGAGTAGGCTGTGCCAAGAGTAGAGACTGAAGGCCAGGCATGGAGGCGCACGCCTTTAATCCCAGCACTGGGGAGGCAGAGGCAGGAGGAGCTCTATGAGTTCGAGGACAGCCTTGTCGACACAATGAGCTCTAAGACACCCAGGACTACATAGAGACCCTGTCTAAAAACAGAGTAGAGACTGAGTGACACTGAAGCCCCTGGGACGGTCAGGAGTGTCCTTTGCCTGTCCACCCTTGCTGCTACAGCAGACATTTGGTGGTCGGACAACAGGGGGGTGGAGGCTGTTGTCATCACGGTGTGACGTGTTCGACTCTATGGGATCTAGATGGAGAAGTTGTCCTTCTTCCTTTCTTTGTGTGATGAGCCTCACAGGGTCTTGGCCCTGCTGTTCCTGGTAGGATTTTAATATTCCCATGTCCCCCGACAGTCTCAATTCACCGTGATAAATTTACAGTGTAGCACTCTTTTCATATAAGAATTACTTTTTTTGTTTCGTTTTTGTTTTTTCAAGACAGGGTTTCTCTGTGCAGCTTTGGTGCCTGTCCTAGATCTCTCTCTGTAGACCAGGCTGGCCTCGAATTCACAGAGATCCTCCTGGCTCTGCCTCCTGAGTGCTAGGATTAATGGTGTGTGTTTCGTTGTATTATGTTTATCGGCCTGAGTATACGTATGTGCACTGTGGACAAGCAGGTAGGTATCCAAGGAGGCCAGAAGAGGGCATAGGATACCCTAGAACTACAGTTACAGGCAGTTGTGAGCTACCTGATGTGGGTACTGGAAACTAAACCAGGGTCCTTTACAAGAACAGTAAATGTTCTTAACCATTTGCCATCTCCCCAGGCCCACAGTGTGACATTCTTTCTACTCCCAGGAATAAGCCACTCACTCATCAGTCTGTGGCCTGGGTGGGACCACACAGATAGTGTGGTTTACAAGTGTTCCATGGGCTCCAGTCGTCCCTCTCCCTCAAAACGGATCCACAGCCGCTTGTAAAATGGAGTCTCTCTTGAAGGTAGACACAACCTGAAGAAAACCACCGCTTTACACAATATGGAGTAATTAGAGCAGGCACAGCCTGATGTCAGCACACGGTCATGCAATTTAATTCTGTGAGTTCGGGGCCAGCCTGGTCTACAGAGCAAGTTCCAGGACACCCAGGGCTACACAGAGAAACCCTGTCTCAAAAAAACAAAAAAACAAACAACCAGTATCTCTTCCATTGGGTGTTGAGAGGGTGAGCTGAGTCGGAAGAGCCTGGTGTAGAAGGCTCTGTGGCTGCTGCTCTTCCATCCCCCATCACTGCTGCCACACTAATCTGCTGTCCATGTTTCTCAAGCACTCCAGTTTTCTGAGACGGAAGCTTGATCCTTGGAGCCTGTGACCGACAATATGTAGAGCCGTGTTCATAAACTAGTTAGTTACATGAATTTACTAGACACGTGCCCTATTTATTTTTCAATTACAAAGTAATAAAATAAAATAGCTAGTAGTGCTATTTGATGTTTTGTTAGTCAGTTATACGAGCAGATGGCCCCAGAATAAAAGCTGAAGATTATACATGTTTCATGCTGTTAAGAATGTCTCAACAGTAATATATTTCAGATATTCATTAAATTAAATGAAGCTAGACCCAGAGGCCCATGCTTGTCGTCCCAATACTCAAGAGGCAGAGGCTAACCTGAGCTACACGTAGACTTGGCCTCAAAACAAAAGATAAAATTAATAGATGCTAAAAGAAACTACGAAATAATTGTAAGGGTAGGTGCCATAGAGTAGAGATGACATTCTTTTGGACATGGTTTTGGTTAGTTGATTGGTTGGTTGGTTTGTGATTTAGAGACAGGGTCTCACTATACAGTCCACGTTGACCTGAAACTTGATCCTCCGGCCTCCACCTCCCAGTGCTGGTATAACAGGTGTGTGCCACCACACTTAGGTCTCAAGATATTCTTCTACTTGGGAAGATTTTTCACAGGGGCACCAAGGACATAGCGAACGATGATTTCTATGTCTTGGAAGTTTCTGAAGACTTCCTGTCAGATTCGAAGCAAATGATGTTAAATTCAGATACTCCACTAGGTGGCGCGATTATGTTATCTATTAATATCCTTACCCAGAGGACCATTTATTCCCATAATAAAATAAAATAAGGCATATTTAATATACATGGTTGAAGAAATGCTCCTTCTAAAGAAAAAAACATAATTAATCATTAAAAATGTTAATAAGAATCATGAATTGCCTAACAAGATAGACAACTGAACACAAGCTTTAATTCCCACTCCACCCTAACCCGAAAGGAAAGGTTATAAATTCCTTCAGCACTCTACACGGCTCCAGTGACTGTCCTAACGGGGAGACAAGGGGAGGAAGAAAGGACAGACACATAAAAGCTGGGGTCTCTGCAAGAAGCGATGACGGGAGGATGTTTTGTATCCACATGAGGAAATGAATCAAGACGGAAGACCTGAGTTCCAGGCCCGGGTCTCTAATCTAGGAGGGGAAGACAGTGAGTCAGTCACAGTGTGCAGCTGTGTTGAGAATGGAGGCTGTGACAGAGGCTTGCCAGGGAAGAAGGGAAGCAAGCGGAGCTGCAGAGTCCTCTTGTAGTTCAGCCTTCCTCACACTGGGTTGTATTACTCTCTTGGAATTATAAGCATGAATGGGTGACAGATACATATGTTTTAAAACCAGGCAAATTTTTTGTTTTGCTTTGCTTTGTTTTGATATAGGCTCTCTCTACATAGCCCTGGCTGTCCTGGAACTCACTATGTAGATCAGGTTGACCTTGAACTTGCAGAGATCCTCCTGCCTCTACCTCCTGAGTGCTGGAATTAAAAATGTATGCCAACATACCCAGCCAAACTAGGCAATTTGGGGGGTTTTGATTGTTTGGGTTTTTTTGTTTTGTTTTGTTTTGTTTTGTTTTGGTTGGTTGATTGGTTGTTTCGAGACAGGGTTTCTCTGTGTAATAACACTAGCTGTCCTAATCAGGCTGGCCTTGAACTCACAGAGATCCACCTGCCGCTACCTCCCGAGTGCTGGGATTAAAGGCATGCATTCGACACCACCACTTGGCTAGGCAGTTTTTAAAAGCAAGATCATATTTGATCCTTGACAGAATCTTGGATGTAAACTTTCAAAACTCTATTTTATGGAGACAGTTGGAGAAAATTAAATGGGGACTGTGTATTTTAAAATATTGTTGCAACATTAAATTTCTAGAGATGATAAACATATTGTAGCTAGTATATTTTAAATTGTCAGCTATTTTCTACCCCCAATAATGAAAGCTTGTTTGGAGGTTCTGGGGGTGGGAGGAGGTGCAGCTACATATACCCTTGACCTTTACTCAGGGAAGGTCATCCTCTTCAACTGAGCATGCAGCTTTGAGAGAGACACACATGGGGTAGTGGCGAGGGAGGGAGGAAGGGGACACCAGCCCAAACAGAAGATCAGCCAAATAAATCCTGGTGATCAATGGGGTGATAGATGTAGCAGCCAGATCACCCCCACATCCCTATCCCCAATTATGAATTTACTGATAACACATAGGTTTTATGAAAACTCCAACTAAGTCAAAGCTGGAAATGGGAAGGATTCTTATCAAAATCATCATCAACATGGGACATTGATGTGAAGAAGCCCACCACTACTGGACATCTGATGGACAACTGTGGAACTCTCTGGAAATAACACAGCAGATGTGTGAGTAGTATTGATGCCCTGGCATGAAGGGACTCCATCCAAACCCACTGCACAACAGGCGATATTGGGCTGTGTTCTTCTGGCTGTTCTGCTGGTGTAGGTGAATTTGAAACGGGAAGGTCTAAGAATGGATAGACTTGTGTCAACACCCTTCTGGCTCATGCACTGGGTCTGAAACAATTAAGTGTCAATGTAAACAAAATGAATTCCACAGAGTCACCTTTCATCCAGAAGAGAGATGAGGAAATCATTCAGGAAGTCGGGGCCTACATAAGGAAGCTGGCTATAACCTTGACACAGTAGCTTTTGTGTCAATTTCTTCTTGGAACGGTGACAACATGCTGAAGCCAAGTGCCAATATGCCTTGACTCAAGAGCTGGAACATTACCCACAGGATGGCAATGATAGTAGACTCCCGTTGCACAAAGCTTTGGATTACATTCTGCTGCCAACTCACCCAACTGCTAAGCCTTTGAATCTGGCCCTCCACGTGTTTACAAACTGATGGTACTCATACAGTCGCTATAGACCACGTGGAGACTGGCACTCTCAACCCCAGCATAGGTTTGCTACTTTGCTCCAAGTAATGTCACAAGTGAAGTCTGTTGAAATGCACCATAGAGCTTTGGTGAAGGTCTTCTTGAGGACAAATGTGCTGCAATGTCAAGAACACATCTATCAAAGATATTCATCATGGCCATGTTACTGGTACTGTCAGCAGCAGGAACGGAGGCAGAGATCCACACTATCACCCACAGAAGCCTGAGGAATTCCCTTAATCGTTTAGAAACCTCAATTTAAGTAAAACCAGATCCTTGGTTTCAGAAGAAAAGGTAATTTCAGGACAAGCCAGTATGAAGCAGAGCTGGGGGGTTATTAAAAATAGAAAGTCATTGCAGAAAAGAATGAAGTATATATGTGGCCTTCTCAAGGATGAGTTATAATTTATTAAAAGACTTTAAAAAATTTTTATAATATTTTTATTTATTACTTTGCTCATATGGGTGAGCACATACCAACCATGGCATGCATGTGAAGGTCTCTCCTTCCAACATGTGGGCCCCAGGTATCAAATTCAGGCCATCAGACTTTATCCATTGAGGAATCTTTCCAGCCCATCTTTTTGAAACAGGTTTTCAGTGTGCTGGCCTAAAACTCATTATGCACACACAGTTGGCCTCAATTCACAGAGATCTGCCTGTCTCTGCCTCCCAGGTGTTGGAAAAAGAAAAGCTCGGGGAAAGACTAAGATATTCATCCAAGTGCAGGTATGGTTATCAAGGGACAGTCACAGCTAAGTGTCTTGCCATGAGCCTCACTATCATTTCGGTAGCTTTCAAAGTATTGCCAAGAAACTTCCTTTTTCTTTTTTCTTTTTCTTTTTTTTTTTTTTTTTTTTTTTGATAAATGATATTATAGGGTAGCTCTGGTAGTGACTTAAATAGGATTATTACTTGATAAGGGAGTATCAGGAGTCACTGGGATTTCGTTCAAAGTTTAGGACATCTTTTAATGTAAATGATCTGATGAGGTCCCAAGAAAGTTGTACACTTAGAGCTGAGAAAGGGGAAAGGCCTTGAGCAAATGTTGTTAATTTTGCTGGAATTCTTGGTTCTCAGCTAGTGAGAAGCTTCAAGCAGACTCTGAGATGAGGGGCTCCTTTTCATGTCTCCACAATTTTCCCCAGCTTCTCTCCTGTCTTAGTATCAGTAAAAGTGACCGGTCGATGGAGACAGCTATTTTTTTGTTTTGTTTTGTTTTACAGAAGCCTTTGCAGATTTTTTTTTCTTGCTTCCTATGGTCTTTATTTTTTTTTCCTTTTATTTTATTTTACAATACCATTCAGTTCTACATATCAGCCACGGGTTCCCCTGTTCTCCCCCTTCCCACTCCTTACCCCCGGCCCAGCCCCCATTCCCACCTCCTCCAGATCAAAGCTCCCCCTCCCCCCAGGACTGCAATCAACCTGGTAGACTCAGTCCAGGCAGGTCCAGTGGAGACAGCTATTTTCACTGTTCGATTGATTCATCCAGGCCATTTCAGTGCTATCACTGCCCACACACTAGGTGGATTTACAGCTCACCTGCTTGTAGGTTTGCTGGGCCAAAGACAAAGATCAGTAGGTGCCCTGGTAAGATGCTAGGAGACAGCTCTGAGTTTTTGAGATCTGGTGTTTCTGCCATCGTCCCAGACAAGCCCATGTGTGTTGAGAGCAACTGTCCTCCTCTTGGTCATTGTGTAGGTTATGATGTAAGACAGACTACTGCTATGCATCACATCAGAGCAAGGATAAGAAGGCCATGGAGTCACCAACACTTCGCAGAAAGCGCAGGAGCTAAGTTAACACTCTCCCTACCACCTGCCGCCACACTGTTAATCAGTGGTAGAACCATCGCAGAAATATGGATCCTAACTGCCCATCTAACTAAAGAACTTGTTCATAACATATCCCAAGACCTTCAGAAGAGAAGGTGAATGTCTTTCTTTTTTTCCACCTAAAAACTTTTTACTGAATTCCTGTTAACCCTAAGATAAGGCCTCAAGTCCCCATCCTAGCCTTCTACTTTAACCTCCAGAATGCTAGGATAACAGGTATTGTTGCCACACCAGGTATCTTAGGACATAAAACTATCCAGCACAATTGACCTCTTGTCAACCTGACACATAAACAAATCACTGTAAAGTCACAACCTTTCTTTTCTTGTTCATCCCCAAGATCACACATTAATATAAACATCACAGTATAAAACATTTTACTAACTTACAAAGTCCCACAGCCTTACAAATCCAAACACTTTAAAAATTCAGTCTTTTAAAAAAAAATCCAGTTTCTTTTAAAATACAAATTCTCTGTAAAACTCCAAAATTTCCTTTTTTAAAAAATGTAAGGTCTTTCAACTGTGGGCTCCTGGGACATAAAAAATAAGTACTTTCATATTTCAACTGGGGAAGAAATAGGGCAAAGTAACTATTTGAACAAAGCAAAACCAAACTCTAACAGTGTAAATAACTCGGCATCCGGTGTCTGGGATCCACTCCTGATCTCCTGGGCTCCTCCAAGGGGCCTGGCTCACTTCTCCAGCTCTGCCCTCTGCAGCACACACAGCTTGTCTTCTAGGCTCCAGCTGGCTCCACTTCACTGCTGCTGCTGTTCTTGGTGGCTATCCCATGGTACTGGCATCTCCAAAATGCTAGACTCTTCTGCTGAAACTAGGGTGTACTTTCATCAATAATCTCTCCTGGGCTCTCTTCAGGGACTCCAGCATTGCCACATAGTGCCAAGCTTCAGCTGCTCTCCATGACCCCTTCATGCCTTCAAAACCAGTACCACCTGGGTGACTCATACTACCAAGTTCAGCTGCTGTATGAGGTACAACCTTGGCCATTTCTGGAACACAGCTTTCTGTGTGCTGACTCTGAGTAAATACTTCCCAGAAGACTTCAAGGTGAATGTCTTTTAGACCAATGGGTTGTATGTGTGTAGCAATTACAAGGTATTGGGTTTTTTTTTAATTCAGAATTTCAAAAGTGTGTGTGTGTGTGTGTGTGTGTGTGTGTGTGTGTGTGTGTGTGTGTGTGTATCTCCTGGGGCTGAAGTTGGAGGTGATTGTAAGCCACCCAGCATGGGTGCTGGAAACTGAATGTTGGTCCTCTACAAGGGCAGCAAACACTTTTAACCACTGAGCTATCATCTCTCCAGACTCTTAATAGGTATCTTCAATAGCAACAACTTGGTCAAAAATCTGTCCCAGAACTTTAAGATCCATTAATACAAAGTTTGATGGGAATTGAACTCAGGACCTCTGGAAGAGCAGCCAGTGTGCTTAACCTCTGAGCCATCTCTCCAGCCCCATAGAGAGGGGTCTTTATGACATGACTTTATTCTGAATTTATTGAGCAGAGGAATGAGATGAACTGTTGTGGAATATTACTTTACACTGTGGGTGGATGTATCACTGCGATTGGTTTAATAAAGAGCTAAACAGCCAATAGCTAGGCAGGAGGTATCGGCAGGACTTCTGGACAGAGAGCTCTGGGAGGAAGAAAGGGAGAGTTGCCAGCTAGATACAAAGGAATCAGAAATGTAGGAGAGGTAAAAAGCCACAAGCCACATGGCAGCACACAGATTAATAGAAGTGGGTTAATTTAAGAGCTAGTTAGACACAAGGCTACACGAATGCTGAGCTTTCACAATTAATAAGATGTCATTATCTGGGAGCTGGCAGTACAGAAAAAGATTCACTACATTTGATGTCCAATGCATGGCATGTAAATCCACAAAGGACCTGAGAAAGCTGGGGGGAAAAGTCCAAGTAGGCTTGGTGCTTACAGAGTACACAGACAGGGTTCTTTTAAAAGGCTCTGCTACTTAGCACTTGACTGGGGTTTATGAGCAGCAGGCAGCACACTACTTGGTGGCCAGAGACTAGGTAGGAGCATCTATGGGAGCTGGGGCACATAGACCAGCACCAGGCTAGGGGCCTGCTCATGAGGCTCAGCTCTCACCTACTTGAAGGGGGCGGAGCCAGCTATCAGGCAGGTTAAGATTTGTCTCACATGGTCAGCTGCAAGTGCTCAGTAAAGACAGATCCAGACAGAAAAGAAACTCTAAACAGGTTACAGTGTGTTTAAAAAATGTGCATAGGCTTAAAAAAGGAAAGAAAATGGGTATAGACAGTCATAGGGGAAAAAAAGCTTATAAATAATAAAATAAAATCTTTAAAGAGAATAAAACAATATAAAAAAGATAAGCCACATAAAGATGGAAAAGATACAGGGAGTCTGAATTGCTGATGAGTGAACGACAGCTGCTGAGAGACAGGCTTGTAAGAGGGACTACTAAATTATACCAGCCTAGACACTTTTGGAATGCCTTAACTGTAAAATGAAAGCCAGAAAATGTATTGCATTGGGGGAAGAGGTTATGCTTTTGTTTCCACAGAAAACAAAGGCTGTGGATTCATTCAAGGTTGATAGAGATCAGACCCCCTGAAAGTCCTGGCTACAGACAAAAAGAAATAAACCTAGAAAAACTACAAGACAGGTGACACATATTTTGCCTGATCAAACATGAAACAAAAACAAAAAAATCATCTTTGGCTGGCTTGTGTACAACACACAGTCCATAGTTGTGTTAATGTAGATATGTGTGCTACCTTTGAAAATGTGTGTGTTTTCAGAGCAAGGGGACCAGAAACCAATGAAAATGGTGGTGGCCTAGGTGATCCAGCCTCTCAGATGCCTCTATTGCACTTTCCTCGGAACAGCTTCAAGGCTGCTGGCTGAGATGGCCCAGCCTCACAGACTATTCTGGCCAGGACTGCAGATAAGCCTTGTGCTTTCTCAATACACGGGGACTGGACAACAAATGTTATGGCTAGTTTTCCCAGGACTTGACCATTATCTCCACTTCCTCAGGGCCCTAAAGGTGCCCTCACCCCAGACAACAGAAAGCAGTCTGGAGAACATGGTGCTCACATTCCCAAGAGGTGAGATGGGTGGGTTTTGGTCATTCGGTGGGTTATGGATGTTTATTTTTTAGGAGGTTGGTTACAAGCTTTAACTGATAATGCTCAGGGGAAAAAAACTGAACAAAGAAGATTAGATTTAGGGATCTCATTCTGAAAAGAAAAAAGGAGGATATATTATAGAAATTATGGGATAAAAGGGTGTATTTCTGAGTCTACTTTTAAACAACCACTAGTCTCAAATATTTTACATTGGTATGGATTTTTGTATATTGATACAAATTTAAGGTTATTTTTATTATACTCTACTGTTTTTATTCTTGTTTAAGGTATTGTACCTATGCAGCTCATTTAAAAATGTTATGTTAAGTTTTAGTCCTTGAAAGCTATTTAGGATAATAAAGAAATACAGGTTAATAGTCATCTATAATAATCAAACTTATAATTAGATTAGATATGTTTTCAAGGTCATACAGAGATATATTTTAGATAGATGATCTTCAAACACTTTAAAGACCTATAGAATATGGCATTTAAAATGTTATAATAACATAAGCCTTTTCATGACAGTGAAACACCTTTGCTCCTGGCAGCAGAAATCTACTTCAAAAAAGGATGATGGGCATCGAAGAACCTCCATATGGAGTTTACTTTCTCTGTGGCAAAAGCTAGCTATTTGGGCAAGACACTGTCCTTGCCTTGACTGCTGACAGTATGTTGTCCAAACTAGACAAAGGGACACAAAAGAAAGAGACTACCAAGCTTCAACAAGACAGGGTAGGACTGTAGCTGGAGTTTTCTCCAGTCCTGCTCAGACCCAAGTAAATACACAGAGATTTATATTACTTGTAAACTGTATGGCCGTGGCAGGCTTTTTGATAGCTAGATCTTGCATCCTAAATTAACCCACTTCTATTAATCTATAACTTGCCACATGGCTTGTGGCTTATCAGTACTTTACATCTTACTTCTCAAGGCAGCGGCAGTGTCTCCTGACTCAGCCTCACCTCCACCAGAAGCCTCAATGGAGGTAGTACTTCCAGGACAAAGCTGGAACAGCTACCCACTACATCTCCCTCTTTTGTCTAAATAAAAAAGTTCTAACCTAATACAAAACTATATACAATAGGAACGATTATCAAATATTGTCCAGGAGGAATAAGGGATAATGACCTAGACAAGATGGAACTACAACCAATATGAACAATATCAAACAAGAGACACATACTAAAATCCAGAGAAGTCTAGAACATGGGTAAATGGCACGTTACAGGGATCATTCCAAAAGCTACCTTATCCTGAAGAACCTGAATCTAATACTTAATATGTTTTAGCTAAGATAGAAGATTGTAACTGTAACTGTTAAGTCCTCAATCCCATCAAAGACCTGAGAAGAAACATAATAATACCTGGGAAATGGGAGAAGGATGCAAGCAATTTTCGGAAATCTTTCAAGAGTAGACAGAGACAGCTGGCAGCATGGACAATCACCTAATGTTTCTCAGCATTGTTGGTGCATTCAAATTGGCTACAGGCCTAGAGTATCTGACAGACCACTTTCAGAAGCAGGAATTCTGAAAGACCATCTTATCCTGTCTTGGCAGAGTACAGTGGTCGCTTTCCTTGTGTCCCACTTGTCCAGAAAGGACAGCATTTGTACTGTCAGCAGTTGAGGCAAGGGCAGTTCTTTGCCCAGTAGGCCATTTTGTGCCAAGAACAAGACAAACTTCCAACTGGAAATGTCTTAGAAACCCAACATTCTCTCAGGATCAAATTGGTGCAGCCAGGAGCAATTGTGTCTCACGCCAACAGAATTCTAAGTTATTTAAATGTCATATTCTCTAGGTCCATGAAGTGTTTAAGATTACCTGTCCATCTGACCTATGTATCTGTAAATCTGGATAACCTAACTAATATAACTATAGAGATGACAAGCATAGGTGACTATAAATCTGTAAGTCTTTTCTACCTAAATAACCTAAGGACTAAGGCTTTATGTAAACAAGGTAAACAGTCTGTAAGCAAATGTATGGTAAAAGGACAATGACTTCAAAATTGTGACAATATACAACAGAGGTAGGAATGTATAGTGCAATATGCAATATGACAATAATCCTAAATATATATCAATATATAAAATATCCTAAACATAGGATACATACATACAGTATGACAGATATAAATTTACATTTGTATCAATATACAAAACATTTCAAATAAGAGTAGAAATATAAGTACACTACAACAAATATAGTTCTGTATTTGTATCAATATACAAATTATCTTAAACAGGAATCAATATACAAGAATCCATAACAGTGCAAATTATCTAAGACTGCTACCTACTAAATTTGTTTACTAATATATACAATAATCTACCATAATATCTTATACCTATCCATAGAACACTCCTTCAAAAATTCCTGCTTTACAGAAAAGTCTGTCAGATATTCTGGTCCTGTAGGCTGAAGATGGATGCCCCAACATTACAGAGGAACCTTGTAGTGACTGTCCAGGCTGCCAGATGTCTCTGTTCATTTTTTAGTTTTTGAAGTCACTTGCTCTGCACTTCGTGTTTACTCAGGTAATGTTATATCCTTCTCAGGTCTTTGATGGGGTTGAAGATTAGATGGTTATAGTTACAGTTTCCCTTAGTCATGATAGAAAGTAAATTAGGCACAAAACTTTGGACTCATCAAGAGAGGATAGATAATGGAGTGTTTTCTCTGAATTTGCCAAATACAAATGGCCTGTGCATTGTGAATATAATTCTTACCTGATAATTGTTCTTTTTGTTTCTAGTTTTATTATGTTAGAGTTAAAAAAAACTTTCCTTTTTATTTACACAAAAGGGGGAAATGTTGCAGAATATTCCTTTACACTGTGTGACAATGTGTCACTGTGATTGGTTTAATAAAGAGCTAAGTGGCTAATATCTATGCAGGAAGATGTTAGGCAGGACTTCTGGGGACAGAGAGGTCTTGGGGAAGAAGAAAGGCAGAATCCACAGCAAGATGCAGAAGAAGACATGTAGGAGGAGAGGTAAAAGCCACGAACCACAGGACAGCACATAGGTTAATAGAAATGGGTTGATATAAGTTATAAGAGCTAATTAAGTTATAAGAGCTAATTAGAAACAAGCCTAAGCTAAGGCAAAGCTTTCACAATTAATAAGTCTCTGTGTCGTTTTTTTGTGAGCTGGCAGCCCAAAGAAAAACCTGTCTACAATGAACTGAACCAGGTATTAAAGGATTGCTTTGGTGTTTGTGTTTAGAATGGAGTGTGAGAGACACAAATGAAAAGCAGATAAGCCGATTAGGAGAGCACTGGATCACAGCTGCTAATGGACAGAGAAAGATGACGTCCATGGGTTGGCCTTGTCAGGAGCAGGTCTGAGGGCACTGAAAAGGTGAAGCCTGGCTTGAGTGAGTCTGACAAGATGGAAAGAGCAACTGGGAAGACAGAAAAACATTGGGCTGTGAAGGAGAGAAAATGGACAATAGCCGCAGGAGATGCAATTACAATGTGTGCTGACAGGAATAACCCACTGGGTGACAACTGCATTCATTTGCATTCATTTATTGGCATAGATTAATATATTATCGGTTGATATTAATCATTTATATAGGAGGCGGGTATAGTTGGACTTTCTTTGGACTGCCAGCTCCTGAATAATGACACAGAGATTTATTAATTATGAAAGCTTGGCCTTAGCTTAGGCTCTTTCCCAGCTAGCTCTTAAAACTTAAATTAACCTGTTTCTATTAATTTATATTCTGCCACGTGACTTATTACCTCTCCTCAGTACCATATGCCTGACTTCCTCTACGTCTGGCTGGTGAATCCCTTGCCTCAGATTCTTTTTCAGAGTTCCTACCTTTGCCTGGAAGTCCTACCTATTCTCTCCTGCCTAGCTATTGACCATTTAGCTCTTTATTAAGCCAATCAGAAGGTGCTTTAGGCAGATGAGGTAAAATAGAGACATCTTCACACAGTATACAAAAAGATTATCCCAACAGGCAGGAACACTTGCTACTCCAATAACCCTGAGTAAATGGAAGAAGAAAGGCTCATCAACATGGCAAAGGTGGCCCTCAGCTAAAGCCACGGATAGTCTACCCATAATAGCAGCGGGGAGGGAGAGTATGCAGCTCCAGGTGCAGAAAGTGTGTGGACATTGGTGGTAACAGCCACAAAAGTTATATTCTGACTCCTTTCATTTTCTTAGGAAAATTAGGCAATGGACATCTACAGGCTGGGAAGTATGAAAGCTAGGTATCTGAGAAACTGACCACAACCCAGAGGGTACATCCCAGAAGGCACACAGCATATATGTTTGGAAGGTGTGGAGTATGGGATAAGTGTTCCAGAGAAATGTGTAGCTAGGTATCTGAGAATCCAACCACCATTCAGAAGGTACATGGTATGTGTGTGTTTGGAAGGTGTGCAGTGTGGGGTGACTCTGACAGAAAAATGTGTGGCTGCAAAATTGGAGTCCATTTGAGGCTGGGATCCTTTAGTGTAAGCCTAGTCGGCCTCATTGTGTTTTTTCTGCTGTTATGGTATACTGAGTGGGTTCAGGCTGGGAACCTACTGGCCATTCAGCTCGTTATTAAACCAATCAGAAGGCACCTTGGAAAGACATCTTCACAGTGTACAAAAAGATTATTCCACAACAATGACTTACTGAGAAGTCTCACTGGACAACATACTGGCAACTAGGCCACTGAAAAACAGCCCCCAATCCACATGTGCACGCATGCATGCGCGCACACACAGACACACACAGAGTGAGAGAACATGGGCTACATAAATAATTGCATTATGGAGGGGTAGAGTGTCATGTAATCTGGAAACATGAGTTGGAAATAGGGAAGAGGTAGAGAAATAGTCTGGAAGCCACCAGGAGAAGAAGGCTGAAGGGCAGAGGTAGATCCCAGCTGCACTAGAGAGGGCTGCAGGGGAAGAGTATTCTCTGGGGAGCAGATTTTCCAGTATGCCAGGAAAGCAAAGCGACATTTATAGATAAGAACATAGAAAGAACCTGCATGTGTGACCAAGTTTGACAATACTAAAGCATCAAAACACAATGTCCAAGTCATGCTGACAATTCCAAAGTTATCTGTAACTTACTGTACTTTCTGGTCCAAAATATACTTGATATCTAACCTGCGACCCAGTTGCCATTCTTATTTCGCAAGCAGACACAATAAACATAATATTCTCTAGAAATAGCTCTAAACACAGGCTTGTGGTGATGAAAGCCTGAGAAGCAGGGCAGTGGACGGTGACCCAGAATCGTGTCTAGGGTGGCCCCAGTGAGATGCTATGAGAGGAAGAGAGCAGGAGTGAGACAACTCTCTGGGTACTGTTCTGGGGGTCAGTGTGGATGAGTACATCAATAAAAGAGTCAGGGCAAGGGAACAAGAAAACCTAAAAAAAAGCTTTATGCTTTTAATGAAGTAATCTGAGACTCTATGATGCCTACAGTTCAGTGTATCAGAATGTCCAGTAACCAATGGGAAAAAGTCTCAAACTCAAAAGAAAAGTGAAATGGAGAGATTTCTTAGGAGTCACTGCACAGATGACCGAAGTCATTCCGCAGATGTGGAAGCCGAAATGGGAGAGGGGCAAACCTTGTTGGAAAGAATGCAGAGAGAAGGCTTCTCAGTGTGAGGCCCCAGAGCTGATGGGCAGCAGCTCCCCTGTGGGTGGCCAGCTTCCTGCTAAACAGGGACCTTGCACTTGTACTTTAATACAAAACATATTTATTATCTCTATTTATAGCTGATTCAAGGGTGAAACTTTGAGACTGGTGAGGTGGGAGTTCCGTGCTGAGCCACAAGGCGAAGGAAGAAATCTGTAATACCAATCCCATCTACAGTGTTGAATACAGTCTCCCCCAAATTCACATCCACCCAGAGCAACAAAGTGTGACCTTGTTTGAAAGTTGGTTCTTTGCAGATATAATTAAGTTAAAAAAGAAATCCTTCTGGATTATAACAGGCTCTAAATCCAGTGCCTGGTATCCTTATTGGAGGAGATAGCACAGAGACACCCAGGAAGGTTTTATAAGAACAGAGGCAGAGATGGGAGGCAACTGTACACCAAGGAACCAGGCCATCAGCACCTATGAAAAACAGAGAGACACAACGTTTCTCTCTGAGGAACTAACTCTGTTTTCTAGAATAAATGACTAATCTCTTTTAGACAATAGATTTGGGGTGTTCATTACAACACCCATAGGAAAATAATACGCTGCTTATTTGAAATTTGGTATTTTCTCATAGGTCTCCTAGCATTAAGCTTGTGTTTTGGAAATACTGTCTAAAGGGCCAATGTGGTGGTTCAGCAGGTGAAGACAGTCACTTGTCAAGCTGTATGTACAGCCCCATATTTCTGACACACTTTCCTCAGAGATGTGGGGGCCGGGGACACTCCTCTTGCAGAGGCATAGCCTTATGACTGCTCCAACCAACATTCTTGGCCATGATGCTAAGGCAGAGCAATAAGGCAGTACAGTGTCTACTTATTCAATAGAACCCTTCTGTTTAGAGTCCTGAACTACTACAAAATCATCTGGCTATCCTGAGAATGCTCACTGTATTAAAAAAAAAAAAAAAAAAAAAAAGCTCCATAAGGCACAAGTCCCAATCGGTAGAGAGTCCATGTTGAGGGATAAGACCTCAAAAATAGTGCAATCATCTCTATGACATCTTGACTGATTTCCTGACCTACAGAAGCCATGAATAAAACAAAATGGTTGTTTTGATGCTTGATTTTAGCCAACAGGCCAAGAAACAATAGAAATGGCAGCTTCAAAAGTAAAAATTTTGGTGTAGCTAATTTGCTACACCAAAACAGTAAGTGTTGTAATCACTTAATATCACTGTAAATGAATTCAACAATTTTCCAATCAACTCAGGAAATTCACCACACTAGAATAAAAGGTTCCCCAAATACGATGATCTTTCATGTATATGGTATCCTACTTGATGTTTCCTATTACAGAGTCGGAGCAATGAAGCTTAAGTCCAGACCCTTTGTTAATGCTGTCCGTCCACTCACTTCATAGTTGTAAGAAAGAGTAACTGTTTCTTTCTTCATTGCTGGGGGTGGAGCCCAGCTTTGCATGTTAGGCCAGCCTTCTACCCCTGGCCTGAGAGAATCCACTCTAGTTGTCAGGCTAAAAGATACAGCTACTAGGTTTTGCCCTTTTAAGCTCTCATTTCAAATTCTATTGCATGAATGTGGTAATAAAATGTATGCTCACCCTTTCCATACCACTTATACCTATAAAGATTTCATTTCATGTCTGTTCTATAGTTCTACCAGGAAACATGTCAGCAGCACTGTTGACATTTAAAGGTCAATATCATCCAATCATTGTTTGTATTTGTATTTTAAAGCTACAAGAATTAACACCCAATAATGCTCTTGCCCCCTTCACTGTCTTAAAATACAACACAGAGTATAGACAACCAAGTCCCATAAATACACAAAACTCTCTCTGAACTAGGCAAACTTTCTCTTTCTACCTTTCTGGGATGCAGGTTCACCACTTTGTGATTTATTTCTGAGAGAATGGAGTTAGGATTCTGCCTAGGAGGCAGGATTTTTTTTTTTAAAACAGAGCTTTTGTGGTTTACAAACTTCAAGGTGGATATATAGAAATATCCAGATCTGGGAATCATTCATTAATTTAGAATAATCCTTCTATACACTGCGTAAATTACACTGTGATTGGTTTAATAACGAAGCTGACTAGCCAATAGCTGGACAGGATAAGGTTAGGTGGGAAAACCAGACTAAGTATGCTGGGAAGAAAGAGGGCAGAGTCAGGAGTCACCAAGGAGACACGGAGAGAAAACAGGAGGTACAAGATGAAAGAGAGGAAATGCCATGTAGCAGAATGTAGATTAATAGAAATGGGTTAATTTAAGTTATAAGAGTTAGCTAGTATTAAGCCTGAGCTATCTGCTGAGTACTTATAATTAATATTGAGTCTCCATGACGGGCAGGGAAGAAAAGTCCACCTACAAATGGCATTCCAGCATGGGGCCAGCCTCTACCTGCATGTGAACTTTTGTCCCTGCTCAAAACAAGAAAATAATACTTTAAAAAAAAAAAGGCCTATATTAGGTCTGAATACAACATAATGAATATAAAAAAAGGAATCATTCCATACCTCTGAACCCAAATTAAGTTACGATCTGACTGTCCCAGGAATCAGGAGCAAGTTCCTAACTGTCCAGTTTCAACAGACACGAATGTCAAGTTCTCCCTAGCTTAACCATTATGAAAAAGCAACCTAAAGTAAACTGACGCTAACCAGTTAGGTTTTGGGTTTTTGTCTGCTTGTTTTTGTCAATTGCTATAATCCTACTCCTGCCTTACAAGAAAAGTTACTGTGAAATGACCAGTTGCTTTTTGTTGTTTCATTGGTCTCCAACCCTCTATTATTCATAAAACTAACTTATTTTGCCTCAGTCTATCAGAACACCCATTTTATGGATGAAGTGTTGCCCAATTCTGGAATTTCACACAAAGACATTATCTGAAAATTCTAACTTTGTCCTTGGACACCCTTATGAAAGTGGTTTTTTTTTTTTTCAGTTTGTGGTGATTTAAAGGGAGGATAGAAATACTGGCTCAGCCAGGTGTGGTGGCTCATGCCTTCAATCCCAAAAGGTAGGGGCAAGTGGATCTCTGGTTTGAGACAGAGAAACTGTCTCAAAAACAATGAGAGACAGAGAGAGACAGAAAGAGAAAGAGGAGGAAGAAAAGGCTGGCTCAGTCATCAGGAAAGAAGCTGAAGATCTAACCTTGTGCCAAAAATAAAAAATAAAAATAAAAACAAAGAAGCAACGGCAGGGGGAGACACAGCACACAAAGGGAATTTAGGAAGGGGGGGGGAAGACAAACGCGCGGGAGGAGGGGTGCACACTCAAACACTGCAGACTTAAAGATGCTTCAAGCCGGCCGGAGAACTGGCAGGAAGGCCATGGCTTGAATCCCATCCCTTAGACAATCTTATGTAGCTGCAAAATTAGACAAAGCCTTTTGGACTTTTTAACTATTCTTTAAAACTTCATCAGCTTTTCACGCCCAGCCTTTCAAGGTGCAATACTTGGACAGGATAATCCAAATGGAAATCACATTTAAAATTACAGGCTAAGGTGTCTCATCCCAGCCTTCACATAGAATGCTTCCACAGGATCTCCAGCTCACAGAGGGAAGGCATAATAAACACAGCTCAAAGCCTCCGGATAAATCTAATGGACCTAGTTTGTAGTTGCTTCCTTTTAACAGAACCTCCCAGCTTGGAAAGTGACGAATTACAGTTTTACTCCAAAAAAAAGGGGGGGGGTACATTTGAAATTGGAAGAAACTATACCAAAAGATGTTGTTGATTTAAGTGCTCTGAGGCCACAGGCCCAACCACAGCCTGGACCGCTGCTGTCGGCGTCACAGAAGGCTGGCGCTGCAGGGGCCAGGGCGGGGCTGTCGGCATCACCCTCGCCGGGACGGACGGCGGCGGGCGAACCACTTAGAACCGCCCACCCAACAGGCGGCCAGGGGCCCGGGCTGGGGCGGGCCTGGACGGCGACTTCCGGCTCGCGCCCCGCTCTTCCGGCCCGCCCCGCCCCTCCTCCCCTACCCCGTGGGCCCTCCTCCGGGTCTGACGTCGCGACCGGGGCCAGCCCGGCGCATGCTCTCTGGCGGAAAGGCCCGCGGCTTGCCGTGGCCGAGGCTGGAGACGCTGGCGCTGCTTGTCTGCCGCGCTGCGGTACCGTGTGGTCAGCGAGTTGGGTGGAGGTGAGACGGCCTCCCCTGGTTCCCTCCCGCACCCCGCGGCTGTCCGGGGTCTCGATCTCCTCTCCAGTGTCCTATGGGGGGGGGGGGTTGACGACAGAGGTGTTACCACAGCCCCGTAACACTTGGAACTGCCTACTTGGTATCTGTTTACAAAAGAACATTTACCAGTTTTCCTATCAAGAAGATAGAGAGCATGTGATGTCATGGCCTTGGCATTTAAAAGGTTCCGGAAGGCTTCAATGGAGGGCAGAGCAGTTTCCTCTTCCGTGAACTCACTGAGGCCCAAGGGATAGTCCGTATTGGACCGATCCTCCGAAGAGCCCATACAACACAATAGGAAATCTCACTCTTCGCCAATGTAACAGGCTGATGTCTAGGTATCTAAGATTTTAAGTTTAAAGCTGAGCCGGACTGACTACCCATAGTGAAATTGACATTATAAGCGACTCAATGCAGTGCCTATGATTATTTCTCTAATTTTATATTATTTTGTTGTTTGGTTGGTTGGGTTTTTTTGTTTTTTCGGTTTTCTTCCCTTGAGACAGATTTTTTCTGTGTTGCCCTGGCTGTCCTGGAACTCGCTCTGCAAACCAGGCTGGCCTTGAACTCACAGATCCACCCTGCCTCTGCGTCCCAAGTGCTGGGATTAAAGCCAATACACCACTACTGTCCAACTGAAATTCTAGAAATTGGGTGTAGACTGTCCTTATATAATACAAAATAGTAATGCAGCCAGCACTTCACTGATCCCTGAGGCCACTGAACTAGTAACTTTTGAAAATCCAATGATACACATGAAACACTGTAAACTATAAAATCAATTCTGTACACACTCCACTGTTGTAAAGTAGCTGAAAGCTTAGGAATGTAAATACCTCTAAATTGTTTATTGATTGGTGAAAAAAAATCTTTCTTGGGATGGTTTGGAGGTGAGGCAGATGAGCAACGTGTGCTCCTGTGGTAAGTGTGTGGCACTATACAGAAATAACACAACCATCACCAACCCAAAACTTGTTTCCAGTGAGGTCAAAGCCACAATGTATGCAACTTAAGTCCAACTAAAATTCCTTCCAAAGTACCCTCCAAAAAGACCCTTCAGGAGGTCTTTTTGTTACAAATTATTATTATTATTATGCGAGCCCCCCCCCCCAGGGTATCCTGCGCATGCAGGGAACCATGCTGGGCAGATGTAGCTGCGGGGTGACCCACTCAATGCAGGCATGGTGGCCCTCTGTGGGGTGGACATTTGCAACTCAGAGGCTGCATCCTTGTGGAAATGGTTTATTATAATAGAGAGATAAAGAGGCAGAGAGACAGAAAGGGAGGGAGGGAGGGAGGGGTCAAGGGGTGCACAGCTCCTGGGAGTGAAGTGGAAGTGGAGTTTCCTTAAAAATGGGCGGAGTTTTTCCTTAAAAAGAGACCTTTAGGTCAGGACACAGGGTGGCGCCAAGGGCCAGGATCAGAATATTAACACTTTTCCTTTAGTGACAAAATGAGGTATTGTTCATTGTGATGTCACAGCCCTTCCGAAGCTGCATTGTTGTTCATGTTGCTGTCACAGAAAGAAGGGCGGGGGCTGGGAATCAGGAAAAACAGCATTTTAGAAACATCCTAAGTCACTGCCGGAGTCAGTGCCTGCCACTGAAGTCAAGAGAAAATGGTTCATTTTACAAAGTTCACACTGAATAACCAGAACGTGTTTTCTAAAATTAACCCTATTAACAGAATCTTTTTAAAAAGCTCTGCATTCTCATTCCATACAATCATCCAGCAGAGGAAAGATGAAAGCATCAGTCATGTCAACTCTGTAATAAATAATTTACATGTAACATGGACTGAATTATCAAGACCAAAGCCAAGTCAACCCCTTTTGCCGAAGGACAGATCTCCAGGTCACCACATACTGACAGCAGTTAAGCATGTTTCTAACATAGATTGGTTGTTTAGAGGTATAATTTGTAAAGCAAGATAACCAAATTAAATGAGCTTTCACAAATACTGGCTTTGGAAGTTTTTAGGAAAGATAGTCCTTGTAGGCTTCAAGGCAAGAGCACAGGTCTCCATCTGGGTAGAGAGGCTAGATTACATTCCCAAAGCACCACCAGTCAGCCCATGTTGGAAAGAACCTCCATCCAAGTCAGTGGTTCTCAACCTTCCTAACACTGTGACCCTTCAATACAGTTCCTCACGTGGTGACCCCTGACAGTAAAATTCTTTGTTGCTGCTTCTTAACTGTAATTTTGCTACTATTATGAATCATAATGTAAATATCTGAGATGCAGGATATCTGAAATTCAACCCCTGTGAAAAGCTGGTTGGTTCATCACCAAATGGGCCTTGACCCACAGGTTGAGAACCATTGGTCTAAATCCTCTCTTCCAGAAAAATAAACTGTAAATACAGTCCACAGAGAAACTGGAAGTGAGGCTTGGTCTGACCTTAGGAGGAACTATGTCTATTCATGGTGTGTGTGCGTGGGGGGTACTTTTGTCACCCACCTGTGCCGACAGCCAAAATTCCTGCAGAAGATGGGATTCAGCCTCTTACAAGGGCAGAAATGACTTCCGTAGTCCACAAGGGAAGCTGGGAAGTGTAGTTTTTCAGCAGAAACTCTCAGGATCCACATGGTTCCGGGAGAATAAAGTCCCACAAGCTGTAGTCCTCTGACCTCCACTCTCATGCCATGACCCCCACCACCCCCCACCACCCCCACACACAAATAATGCATGCAATTTAAAAAAGAATGTAAAGGTACCTTTTCAGTGGACAAATCTAGTGGATATCACCTTGACCAAAATGATCAAAGTTAATAAATGAACAAAACTGGATAGCATTTGGACAACATGTGCCCTCTAACAGAAACCATGTAGACAGGGTTACCAGCTGAAAAAAAAAATGTTTAACCTAAATCTAATCATTGGGAAATAATCAAATCCAAGTTGATAGTGCTGCAGATACATTAAAAATGGATTTTTTTTCATGGATTTATGAAAAATACCAAAATAACACAAAAACCTAGGAGACTCTTCTAAAGTGACCCATAGGGAATTTGAATATGTCATTATTTCTGGTTTTATGTTTAAATGCTCAAAATTATGTTCATTAGATTTCCAGAGCTATTGTTTCCAATAAGAAAACAAACACACACACACACAAAAAAAATGCCAAAAAGCCTAATTCTTATCATTCTTTTTTTTCTGATCATTTCTTTTTTTTTTTTTTCCATTTTGTTTTTTGAAACAAGATTTCTCTGTGTAGCCTTGGCTGTCCTGGAACTCACTCCATAGACCAGGCTGGCCTCGAACTCAGAAATCCACCTGCCTCTGCCTCCTGAGTGCTGAGATCCACCACTGATTTCCTTTTTTCTTCAGGGAAATTCTGCTTGTGTGAATGTGTCTTCAAAACAGGACACGTAGGCTCCTGAGATGACTCAGTGGGTAAAGGTGCTTTCCACAAACACCTAACTTTCTTATTTCCATCCCTGGAACCACATAAAGGCAGGAGAGATTGCACAAGGTTGTACTCTGACCTCCACACACATGCCATGGCATGTCCATACACAACCACACACACACTAATAATAATTTATTATTGTTTATCATTATTATTATTATTATTATTATTATTATTATTATTATTATTATTAAAAGAATTAGGAAACACTACTGACTGGGGTCAAAATCAAACAACTCAATCCCTAAAAGGAAAATGGCATTTTCTGAAATTTGCCAAACCCTTTTGTTTGTTTTCCAGGTCCATTTCTAAGCCTCCTTACTATGTGTGGTGGTCTGAATGAGAATGACCTTATAGGCTCATGTGTGAATAGCTGGTTGCCTAATGGGAAGGATCAGCAAGTGCGGCTTTGTTGAAGGAGGGGGGGTCACTTTGAGATTTCAAAAGCCCTTACCGTTTCCTGTTAGATCTCTCTGCCTTCTGGTTGTGTCTCAAGATGTGAGCTCTCAGCTACTACTCCAGTGCCATGCCTGCCTGCTGCCATGCTCCCCACCATGAGGGTCATGGACTCTAATACCCAAACTGTAAGCCCCAGATAAACACTATAATTAATTACCTTGGCCATGGTGTCTTATTGCAGCAATAGAAAATTAACAGAGACGCTACTAATACCTAATTTTTGCTCCTTGAGACACAACCATCTGCTGGGTACTTATCAAAAGGTCTTTATAGCTGATGCAGTGGCATATGACTGTAATCGCAGCATTTAAGAGCTTGAAGCAGGAGATATAAATTTGAGGCCAGCATAACCCTGACCAAAACAAACAAACAATCAAAAAATCGTTACAGTTGTTAATGTGTACCTTTTGCACCTTAGAAACATCTCTCCAAGAAACCAGAAACATCCCCAAGAATGTTACCATCAAGGCCCTGTCTTAAACCCTGTGGTGGTGGTGGAACACATCCTTAATCCCAGCACTTGAGAGGCAGAGGTAGGTGGATTTCAGAGTTCGAGGCCAGCCTGGTCTACAGAGTGAGTTCCAGGATAGCCAGGGCTACACAGAGAACCCAGTTTTCTAACTTTGATAAACACATCCAGATGACCTACTCTTACTTATCCTAAGCAACCTTTCAAGCCCCCCTTGCTGTTTCTAATTGGATTTTGAAATGACGAGCTCTCGAGGTCACAGCTGAGGTATGTATTATGAGGCTCCCACAGGCTTTGCTGAAGACAGACAGACAGCACTTCTGGCACGTGGGTAGAGATGCCAATGGCTGCCAGATTACCTTCCAGGAGCTTAAAGGCTGCTTTTGTTGAAGTGATCTGACTCTTGTTTGATCCTGCAGTTTCTGTTCTGTGCCCTTTTGATGTCAGAGAGGCCCAAATTCCACATCCATACCATGCTAGCCATCTCTGAGCATGCACTTTAAGTCTCTCTGCTGGGTTATTCCATAAACAACCCTAACTCTATTCTCTAGAAAGAGTTTTTGGGGTTCTCCCCCTCCATGCTTGGCCCCCATAAATAACTCATTTGTCAAACTTGTTTCAGTGATTGTTGGGATAATGCACAGCACCCTGGTTGGAGCACACTGCTCTAGTCACAGTCATGTCCCTAGCTCTCCTTTCCCAATTGTAAAAGTTCTGTAACTATCAGAGGGAACCAGAATAGCAAAAGTGAATGCCTCATCAAAGTGTGAGGAACTAAATGTTCCTAGCTATGAGTTTCTGGTTCCGATGGGTTTGTTGGGGATACTGTTGACTTAACCCTTTCATAGCTATACAATAAAGGTCTATTTCTTAAGCCTTCACATTCTAGCCCCTACCTCTACCTCCACAGTCACACTAGTCCCAAGTATAACACACTATGTTATGGCAAACCATAATACTTTAGTGTCAGTCTTTCTGTTAAAATGTTACAATTAAATTAAATGTTACAACAACAACAAAATGTCTGGATAACCTGGGGGTGGAAGCTAGGGAGCTTCTACACTTAGAGACATAAATTAATTCACTGGTATCTGTTTCTACTCCTGCTCTCTGCTCATTGCTGGCTTCATCTTAAGCTGGTTCTTCTCCAGTGTCAATAAACAGAGCGAAGAAAGTTGCCTAGGAGTCGACAGAGTGCGTTTAGTACTTCAAGGCTCTGGGTTCAAATTCCAGTGGCACACATAGTCAGTAGCTCTGAGCTCACCCTCTTCTCTGCAATCCAGAATAAGAACTTCTCTCCTTTCCTCTCATGGTTCCAGAAAAAGTCCTGGGGACGGCACACGTTTTGAATCAGTCACTGTGGGGAGATGAAGGTCGGGAGGTATAGCTAGGAACTGGGGAAGATGTCAGCTTCTCCCAAACCACATTCACTAAAAATAGAGATATTGGGTGTCTCCAAGGGAAAACTGGAGAGGGAAGATGGGATTCTGGGGAGGCAACGTGACAGATGGCCACTGTATTTCTTAACACACCCAGCAAACATTACCTCTTCAACTCTGCTTCTGTTTTCTGCCTAAAATGCTCCTCCATATTTATCCTTATGGCAAATGCCTTAAAAAAGAAAACAGATCACACAGTTCCTTTCTAACATATTTGCTTTTCACCCCAATTACTTCATCCTTTGACCCTCCCTCTCTCCCTCCCTCCCTACACACACACACACACACACACACACACACACACACACACACACAGTGGAATGGCTCACGGGTAGAATACTGGCTGCCAGTTGTCCTTTGGCTAACACCAGCACACTATGGCACCACACACACATACCCCTCAAAATGTTTGTTTATTTTTTGGGATAGAACGAAATTCATCAAGTTTGGTGGAAAGTGCCATTACCCTCAGGCATCTCATAACCCTGGCAATTCTTTAAGTCATGTATTTTCACTGAAAAGAAAAAAAAATGAGCTGTGGCATGCAGACAGACAGACATCTGATTTGTTTTTAAGGCAGTACAAGAACTGAAAGTAAGCTTTAGAAACTTATATGGTATAAACCGAAGTTCCCAGAAGAGAGAAAAGAGAGAAGCCACACCTATGTTAACGACTCTAAAAGGTTAAATGGTGGACTAGAACTTGGTGATTTTGGAGAGTTAGAAGGTTGTGGATCCAGAGCCAAATTATCTGGAGCTATACTTAGCCCACTTAATAGTCATTCCTTGCTCAACCATCTGACCTAATATCTTTAAGATTTTTGTATGTTTGTGAATGCTTGACTGCATGGATGTATGTGCCCCACATGCGTACTTGGTGCCTGCCGAGATCAAAAGTGCATGGGATCCCCTACAACTAGAGTCACCGGCAGTGCTGGGATATGTAGTGGGTGCTGGGAACTGAACCTGGGTCCTCTCCAAGAGCAGCCAGTGCTCCCAGCCACTGAGCCATTGTGCTGGCGAGTTCTACTTGACACACGCTGTCGTTATCTGAGGAGAGGGAACCTCAAACGAGAGAATGCCCCATAGAATCTGTCTGCAGGTAAACCTATAGGGTGTTGTCTTAGTGACTGATGTGGGTGGGCCCATATCACTGTGGGTGGTGCCACCCATGGTCTGGTTGTCCTGGGTCCTATGAGAGAGCAGGCTGGGGAAGGCATGGCTGAAAGAGCCAAGACACTGGAATGCTGAGCTGGCTGGACGTGAGCAATCTGTGGTGAGCAAATCAGAGAATCCGAGCAGTTTGTGTGCCACGGAGAGAGCTGACAGGACGGTGGTGAGGAATAGCCTGACGTGGAAGGCCTGCACTACCACCAGAGGCCACAGTGGTGTCTGGGCTGGGCTGCAGATGAGGGCCATGTCTGGGTCCATGGTCTGTTGTAGAATATTATTTTAAGATGTGTTACATTCGTTTATGCTGTGGAATATTTAATGATGCAAAGATGTGTTGCATTCTTTTATGTTGCATTTGCTTAACTCTGTGAAGCTGTGTTACTTTGCCTGTCTAAAACACTTGATGGTCTAATAAAGAGCTGAGTGGCCAAATAGCGAGGCAGGAGAAAGGACAGGTGGGGCAGGCAGGCAGGGAGAATAAACAGAAGGAGAAAGAGCAAGAGAACAAGGAGAGGAGGCCTCTAGGGGCCAGCCACCCAGCCACATAACCAGCCATGGAGTAAGTGTATAAGTAAGATATACAGGAGTAAGAAAAGGAAAAAGCCCAGAGGCAAAAGGTAGATGGAGTAATTTAAAGTTAAGAAAAGCTGGCAAGAAACAAGCCAAGCTAAGGCTGAGCATTTATAATTAAAAATAAGCCTCTGTGTGTGATTTATGCAGGAGCTGGGTGGTGGCCCCCCAAGAACAAAAGACCATCAAAGAACCAAAAGAGTAAAAGAAAACAACTAACAATGGTCCTACTGCAGCTAGGATCTATGTTGATGTCAGTGGCCTGTGGGCTGCAGATGGGTACTGCAGCCTGAAACCAAGTTGATGTTCTAGGACCACGCTGAACTGGCTCCATCCCTAACTGGCCACCCACAGTGGTGCCAGTGGTGATGTGTGCATGGGAAAGCTGGTCCCCACTCCCTTGCCAGGGTGTCACAGGAGAGCTGGTGGGCTGACAAACTCAGCTACCACCCAGGCCCCGATCTAGGACTTTTGAGTTGGCCCATGCCAATACCTACTCCATCTATGAGCTGCTGGAGTGTGTAAAGGGGCCAGTCCTGCAGGACCTCCATGACTGGGGTAACAGCAGGATATCCAAGAGACTCTAGGAGGGTCCAGTACTGGTGTAGCAGAAGCCAGAAACTATACTAATGACTCATTCCAGTGAACATTCACAAGTAAAGCTGTTTGGGCAAAAGGGTATATAGTGTGTGACACACCACAGCCTCCAGTGTCACTATAATGAATGAGTATTGACCTTTTTTGTTTGTTTGTTTTGTTTTTTCAAGACAGGGTTTCTCTGTGTAGCTTTGCGCCTTTCCTGGAACTCACTCTGTGGCCCAGGCTGCCCTCAAACTCACAGAGATCCGCCTGCCTTTGCCTCCCGAGTACTGGAATTAAAGGCGTGCGCACAACCACTGCCCGGCTGAATATGTGATATATTTTTATTCTATAGATTTACATAAGTGATTTTTATTTTTATTTTCTTTTGTGGGGGAGATTACAAGGGTGGAGGGCAGATATGGAAGGACTGGGAAATTAATGGGATTGGGGTGCATGATATGAAATTCCCATATATTCAATACAAAATTATATTAACAAAAAAGAAAGCAGGCTGAGCAAGTCGTGAGGAGTAAGCCAGTAAGCAGAACTTCTCCACGGTCTCTGAATCAGCTCCTGCCTCCAGCTTCCTGCCCTACTTGAGTTCCTGTTCTTGTTGCTTTTAATGATGAACTCTTACAAGGAAGTATGATTAAAAAAAAAACAAAACAAAACTCTTTCTTCCCCAAGTTGCTTTTGGTCATGGTGTTTCATGTTTCACAGAAAAGGTAATCCTAAACTGAGATGGCCACCTATCTCCAGCCCCTGGCCTGAGGTTCTTTTGACAGTCAAGTACAACTTTAAAAATGTATTCTTAGCAAACCACTGACATCTGCCATCCAAATGATAGGAGTATCAGTCACCGCAGAGTATCTGTAACCTGTAACAGTTTTCCCTTCTGCAGTGCAACCCACCTACCTGCAGTCCCCAAGAATGTATTTGGTAAATGCTTATTTATGACTTTGTTTAGTAACCACTAAACTCGAGTGGATCAGCTTCCATGCTGGAACATACATGAATCTGTGTTCCTGGGTGTCTTAGTATTATAATTGCTATGTTGCAGTGAGAACAGAAACTCAAATGGGATGAGAACCTGGAGGCAGGAGTTGATGCAGAGTTCAAGGGAGCGGTACTACTTACTGGCTTGTTACACGTAGAACCCAGGACCACCAGCCCAGAGGTGGCACTATCTACAATGGCTGGGTCTCCCCAACCCCCACCATCAATCACTAATTAAGAAAATACCTAATCCTGCCTACAGTCTGACCTTATGAAGGCATTTTCTCAATTTAGGTCCTCCTTTCTCAGATAACTATAGCTTGTGTCAAGTTGACATAAGACTAGCCAGTACACTGGGTCGTGGACACTCACATTTGGCTCAGAATAAACTTTCTCTTACAACTTCGGAGTTTGGAGTTGTTTTTCACTGATAATGTCATGTTGACCTAATATTTCTGTTTAGGCTAATGATAATTCAGGCTTGCATTTTTATGTCTTGAAGTTTCATCTGACTAGTAATTCATCTTTATCAGATTTTATTATCTTTTATACCAAGTTGAAAGAATTGTTCCTTCACTATAGAAAGCTTGATAATTGTATTGGTCCTTGGCCTTTTAGTTAAGACCACGTGTAGAATTGTATAAAGTATACAAAGAACCACGACCTCCTCCCCACCCACCTCCAATCCAGAGGATTGGTTTGGTTGTTCTGAAGATTGAACCCAGGCCTCTTGCTATTTTTTTTTCCTGTTGAGACAGGGTTTCTCTGTGTAGTTTCTCTGGTGCCTTTCCTGGAACTCACTCTGTAGACCAGGGTGGCCTCGAACTCACAGAGATCTGCCTGGCTCTGCCTCCGAGTGCTGGGATTAAAGGTGTGTGCCACCACCGCCCAGCCCTCTTGCTATTCTTGTGCTTAACAAGCTACACTTGTGTTCCTATTCAGTGTATAATTTAATTTCATGTAAAGGGGGTAATTTCATACTATACTGGAACTTTATTTCACTATTTATTTTTATTCATGTGTATGCTTGCCTGAATTTATACACACATGTTGTACAGAAGCCTACAGAGGCCAGAAGGGCATCAGATCTCATGGAATTGGAGTTATATGGGTATGATCCACCAATGTGGACTCTGGGAATCGAACTCAGGTCCTCTGTGAGAGCAGCAAGCACTCTTGAATTGCCAAGACATCTCTCCAGGCCCTGCAACTCCCTTTTGTTCACTTAATAATGTATGTTAGAGGTCCTTCAAATCTTCTTTTATAAAGCCTTACCCAAATTCACCACATTTTGAAACCAAGTGTAGTGAGATATGTCTATAGTTTCAGCTTATGGAAGCTAAGACAGAAGGATCTCAAATTAGAGATGAGTCCACATAAGATGACCCTTTTCCCAAAACCCAAACAACTAATTTACCACATTTTTAGTTTGTATAGTGTCTTAGTTAGGGTAACTATCACTTGATGAAACACCAAAAGCTATCAGAATTGCTGGGAGGTGGTGGCCCATGACTTTAGTCCCAGCATTCTGAGCAGCAGAGGAAAGCAGATCTCTGTGAGTTTGAGGCCAGCCTGAGCTACAGAATGAGTTCCAGGACAGCCAGGGCTGTTACACAGAGAAACCCTGTCTCAGAAAAAAACAAAAACAAACCAAAAAGCTATCAGAATCACGGGTTTATTAGGTTTTTGTTTTGTTGAGTGCTGAGATTCAGCTCTATATAAAGTAGTTTTTTTTGTTTTGTTTTGTTGTTTGGTTTTTGGAGACAGGGGTTCTCTGTGTAGTTTTGGTGCCTGTCCTGGATCTTGCTCTGTAGCCCAGGCTGGCCTCGAACTCACAGAGATCCACCTGTCTCTGCCTCTCATGTGCTGGGATTAAAGGCGTGTGCCACTGCCACCAGGCTAAAGTTTTGTTTTTTAAGGGGTTTGTTTTGAGAAACTTATTATGTAGCTCTAACTGGTTTGGAACTCCATATGTAGGTCAGTCTGATGTTGAACTCAGAGATCCACCTGCCTTTGTCTCCAGATTGCTTGTCCAAACACACCTAGCAAAAATGAGCTGTAAAAATGTCTTATTGCAACAGAGGGTGGTGAAGGTGCACGCCTTTGATCCCAGCACTCAGGAGGCAGACGGATCTCCGAGTTTGAAGCCAGCCTGGTCTACAGATCGAGTTCCAAGACAGCCAAGGCTACCTAGAGAAACCTTGTCTTGAATCCCCCACCCCCACGCTTCAGTGACATAACTGACAAATATTAAGATGTATCTAAATTCCTTGTACTCTATAGGTGCAAGGTTAAGACCCTTTTCATCCAGACATTAAGCCTTAAACAAAACAAAGTAACAATTCCCAAACTGTGTATTAGGACAAAGATTTTTTCGGAGGATTGAACTAGACTAAAAGACCCTTGGGCGGCCAGAGGTTCCTAAGATGGAGGGAGGAGGATCTACTGTTTCAATGTCGGCGGCTTCAGCTATTTGGGAGATTTAGTGTAGAAGTAAAAACAAACCACAGCTCTTATGCTAAAGGGAATTCAGAAATGTTTTATTCTGGAGCCATTTTGATCCATGGCCCGGGGAACACAAATTTAGGTTACCCCAAATTCCAAGTAAGACGAGAGCTGTGGTTTTTTTGTTTTGTTTTGTTTTGTTTTTTGAGACAGGGTTTCTCTGTCCAGGTTGGCCTCGAACTCACAAAGATCCGCCTACCTCTGCCTCCCGAATGCTGGGATTAAAGGCGTACGCTACCACCGCCCGGCCAAAATTGTATGTTTTTTTTTTTTTTTTTTCCCTTCGAGACAGGGTTTCTCTGCATAGCTTTGCGCCTTTCCTGGAACTCACTTGGTAACCCTGGCTGGCCTCGAACTCACAGAGATCCGCCAGGCTCTGCCTCCCAAGCGCTGGGATTAAAGGCGTGCGCCCCCACCGCCCGAGAGAGCTGTGTTTTTTACGTTGACATAGGTTGAGTGTAATCAACCAGACGTCCCTTTCCCGACTCTGTCTAAACTACAGGAACCATTTAGAATTCGACTCCCTGGTGCAGTGAAATCGCCAGGTGTCACGTCCTCACCCTAATTCTATTTTAGGAGCCAGGGATTTTCCGGATTACTGTACACCCGGCGGCGAGGTGAGGTCAGGGCCAGGCCTACGTCTCCCGGGCTACACCCCGACACCCACGCGCGCCGGGTGCTTCCCGGAAGACGGCGCGCTTCCCCTCCCTCCCTCCTCCCTTGTTTCTCAGTTTTGTAACTGTGAGGCTGCCCCTGTTCGGTGTCGCCGATGGCCGGACGCACACCGCCCAGGGCTCTCGGGGGCCGACCCACCTAGGCGGATCATCCGGTGCCTAAAGGGATTACCAGCCCCGCAGCCTCGAGCCGCCGGGGAGCCTCCACGCCGATCTCCGCCGGGGAGGAGGAACCCGTTGGCGCGCGCCGGGGCC